CGACGATATTTTACTCTTAATATGAGCCGGGTTACAATGCCGATTGCAGGTACATCAGGTCTCAATAAGCACAGCTCAGCGTTTGTCTCCCTTCACTTCGTGGTCCAAGTCTCAGGAGATTTCCCACGAGATTATCCAACGGTCCTTTTAAAGTGACAGTGCTTCATTTATTAAACGAGGCAGCATTCACTACAACAGTCATAGTATTGTTCACCTGGTTACATATGCCAAAAGAAAACCTCCCGAAAGACATTGTCTTGAAAGTTGACACGAAAGTGTGGATGGTAGAAAGCCTAATGAAGGAATGGTTGACCGAGTGTTACGGCAAGTGAGGATTTTTCCATTTTAAAACAAAGCATTACTGGACAGGGAAGGTGCCTTTTTTTTTTTTAAATCAGCAGTGTGAGTGCTGTTTTACTGCCGCGTTATTTGGAAAGAAAAGTTAAGGTTATGTTATTAAATGTTGAAACCTCTTCATGTGTACCGTCTTTCTTTGCAAATATCTCATGTTACAATATGGGCACCTGCGACTTATAGACAGGTGCGGCTTGTGTGTGTACAAAATGGTTTTTCATTTAAAAATGTTGTGGGTGCGGCTGATAATCAGGTGCGCTCTATAGTCCTGAAATTATGGTACCCAATTACAGAAACAAAATAGTTGTTTTACCGTTTCTACCCATCTTTGTAAATCCAAATATCTGTAGGCAGTTTTTGTCGAAACAGTTTAAAAACGATGGTGCCTCAATATATTGGAAGGTGTCAGCTATTCTTTTTTTTTTTGTTCGTTGTTTTGCGCAATTGGCTCTTGTTTTATTCCATGTTGTAAATCTCTTCAGCACAGAAAATCAATCGGAACTGCATGGTCTGTCAAGGAAGTACATGTTTAATGGGCACTTAAAACTCAAAAGTCATCATTAAGTGGCCTTATCGCGTTGTCGTAGGCTACCAAAATGGCATTAATTAACTGTGTTGTCTTTGAAATAGGCAGATAAATTAGTGTTTGGATAAGGTCTGTTTGTCAAGCCAGGGCTAAATTTACATCCTGGAAAGACAAACGGAGTGCAGCCCAATGAAGCGGTACCCGCACGTCACATTCTCTCCTGCTAATAATTTCAAGCTTATTGAGAATGTGCCCTTTCCCACTCAGAGCTGATAGGTCCACTAATCTTTCCAAGTTTGAGCTGCATTTTACTTTCTCATTCTGGGGTCATTGAGATAAGTGACAAGCCATAGGTTGATGGAAAATCCATAGTGTTATTGCCATACTTTACTTTTATTTGATTGGGCCTGGAGTGAGCATAATGTATGGCTGTGGTGGGTTGCTTGTGAAGTATCAGGGCTGGGTTAGGGTCCGCAGAGCATTTATAGCTTATCTGGCTCCCCCACCCACAACACTCAGTGACACTGACATATAGCCTTGCCTGCCATCCATAGGCCGACCTTGTGAGTGCCCGAGTGCTGTAAATCACTCTGTGGTATTGATTTTCCATTAGAGGTCGGGCTCTCTCACACACTTCAAACAGCATAATCACAAACACCTCCAAACACTCAAGTGCCTCATAGCTTGCAGATTTTACTGCACACGGTAGAGTAATTTTTCTGAATGCATATTGAAATTCATTCAGGAAATTATGACAGGTTTCGATTTCTGCTTTACATTCCTGCCATATTGTTGCAACAGTAGCAAAGCCGGTGTTGGTTCAGAGCGTCATATGTCCGAACAAATATTGACATGGAAGCATCCGTCACACCCTGATGTACGTGCATTCAGCACCAGAGGCACATCCCTAAGTAACGACTAAGTGAAAGCTCCATGTTGTGCTTGTGCAACAAACTCACTAAGTACCTTCTGCTGTCATTAGCGAGCCACTTTGCCTTGCGTACATATTCTCAACTCAACTCAACTACATTTCGGAGAGCACTTTAAGACAACCGCCGCAGGATAAAAAAGTGCTGTTCATGGAGCAAAATAAGTCAAACAACATCCATCCATACATCCATCTTCTGATCCGCTTTATCCTCACAAGGGTCGCGGGGCATGCTGGGGCCTATCCCAGCTGTCTTCGGGCAGTCGCCGGGGGACACCCTGAACTGGTTGTCAGCCAATCGCAGGGCACACAGAGACGAACAACCACACTCACACCTAGGGACAATTTGGAGCGTTCAATCAGCCTGCCATGCATGTTTTTGGAATGTGGAAGGAAACCGGAGTACCCGGAGAAAACCCACGCAGGCACGGGGGAGAACACGCAAACTCAACACAGGAAGCCCGGAGCCGGGATCGAACCGACGACCTCTGCTCTGTGAGGTCGACGCGCTAACCACTTGACCATCGGGCCGCCCAGTTTCCAAATGATTATTCTATTTATTAAGGGGGGGGTGTAATAGAGGTAAGATCGGGCCGCCTGAGCCCGACCCGACCCGAAATTCGCGTTGGGTCGGGCCCTAAAATGTCAATTGTTGGTTCGGGTTCGGGTCGGGCTTCTCTCTCGCTGACTTTTTTTTAAAATAAATATTGTAGTGGACACTAGGACCATGCTTCTCACCTGGCCAGCAGGCATACAGTAGGGGGCGTGTTTATGTGAATGTCTACCAAAAATACTCACAAATAAAATATGAAATGTCGGGTTTGCTTCGGGCTCGGGCCTGCAAATCAAGTGATCGGGCTCGGGCCAGGTCGGGCTTTAATACCCTCGGGCCCGGTCGGGTCGGGCTCGATTTTTTAGGACAGATCTTATCTCTAGGGTGTAATGTATAACGAGCCAAAATCAAGGCCCAGGGATCCGTCCCACCACCTCATTGTATGTGGCCTGAGAAGTCGACACTTTCCCAAACTTGTTAATCAAAAGTCAACTGTCATGAACCGCAGTTTTTGGAAAGGTGAGTTTTAATTAACTGGGCACATCAGGCCAAAATGTCAGCAGATTTGTTGAATCAAGAAAAAAATTATCAGCAAAGTAGTGTAAATCCCTCAACCTAGAAACGGTTACTAAGTCATTCTTTGGAATTCCAGCAAACAACAGTCAGAGCCATTTTCCACAAAGTGAGAAAAGAGGGAGCAGGGGGAACTCCTTCCTAGAAGTGGTCAGTCAAACAAAATTATTCCCAGAGCGCAACAACTCATCCAGAAATTCACAAACGTTTTGATTCATTGATTCACAGCCATACACATTGTACAAACCCAATTCAAATGAAGTTGAGACATAAATAAAGCAGAATACAATGACTTGCAAATCACATTCAACCTATGCTTAACTGAATACACTCCGAAGACAACAACTTTAAGGACGTTTCTCGATGTACAATTGCATGGAATATAAGGATTTCATCATCTACGGTCCATAATATAATCAAAAGGTTCAGGGAATCTGAAGAAATAACTGCATATAAGCAGCAAGGCCGAAATGTAACATTGAATGCCCGTGACCTTCGATCCCTCAGGCGGCAATGTATCAAAAACTCCACACAGGAAGGCCGCAGCTAGAATCAAATCCGGTACCTCTGCACTGTGAGGTTGACACGCTAATCACTGGACCACCGGGCCGCCCCAAGTCATACAACAGCAAACGACAAAATAATAAATTAATAACACTGACCGTACAAAGGACAAAAATAGAAAAGCTAAAATCAAGTCGAATGCTGAGTCAAAAGCCAAAAAACAAAAATCAGCTTTAAGATGAATTTTTAGGTTGAGCAGCAAAGGGGCTTTCCTGAATAAGTGGGAGTGCATTCCAAAGTGAGCACCGGTAACCGAACGGGCTCCATTCCCTTCAGAGACTTTGCTTCATCCTCGATACTTCTCATAGCATCTGGTCCACAGACCTGAAGTACCATTCAGGTCCATATGAGTGGAGGAGCTCAGAGAGTTTAGGTGGGGCGAGACCATTTAAAGATTCGAAAACAAATAATAAAATATTCAAAACAACTCTAAAATGTACAGGGAGCCAGTGAAGGGATACTAGAGTAGGGAGTTAAGTGCACTCTCTTACCAGTCAAGAGGAGAGCAGCAGCATTTTGGACCAGACCAGCTGGACACGCTTGATGGAGGAGATTGGCTGACTCCAAAATAAAGTGCATTACAGTAATACAGCCAAAATGTGACAAAGCATGAATTACTGTTTCAAAGAACTGTTGGAGAAAGATGAGGCTTTACTTTAGCCAGCTGCCCAAGATGAAAAAAAGCTGGATTGAACAACAGCACCAATTTTCAGGGCCAATTTAAAATCATTATCCAGTTTAAGACCCATGTTCGATTCTGTTGGCTTTCGATAAGGATCTAGCGGACCAAGTCAGCAGGATGGGATGTACAAGGGCCACTGGGACCAAATACCATCACTTCTGTTTTCTTTTCTTTGAAGCCGAAATAATGACCGACTGTTGATGACGGACTTCCGGGTCCGCAGCTGGTGAATGAACGAAGTAGACTTTCATGCCCACCACTGTTAAAAATACATGTCATAAAAAGTTATTCCCTTTGCCAAGGAGGTTATTCTTGTCATTTACTCATTTTGTTTAGTAAGTAACAAACTAATACTACTCAACCAGTTTTCATAAAAAGTTCGTCAAAGGAAGAACTTTTATTTATTTATTTATTTATTTTTTAAACGTTGCACTTTATTTAATTCTCTGAATTTCTCAATAGTGCATGGACAGTTGACTGTGAACAGTGGGTAGTTTTACTATAAATTATGACCATTTTAATTTTTACACAACAATTTGCACAAAAAAAATCACGTAAACTAAACGTGTGTATATATATATATTATATATATATATATATATATATATACACACACACACAGCCACTGGAATATACAGTTAGAAATTCAGGCATGTGCAGGAGGGGGCAGGGGAGGGGGTGGGGGGGGTGACATATTCAATATGATCCACATTTGATTGTTCTGCCTTTGCAGTAGTTTGGCCTTTCCTGCGTCACATCTACTTTCAGATGATATGTTTGTCCGGTTTTGACTTTAATTTTTGTCTCTCTTCCCTTACAGACAGTTCAGTCACATAAGCCTCATTTCTTAGCTGTGCACTGTCAAGAAGTGGGTGGAAAGAATTATGCGGCTTCCATGTCACACGTGGACAGTTTTGTCAAGTAAGTATCCTAAGTGTTCACAATGAGCTTTGCTCTCATGTGCTCTCATGGTTTCCCCCCTTTTCGTTTTCCACACAAACAACTTTTAATGTTCTTGCAACCGCTACAAAAATATTGTTTGTTTTGATTAAGAGTATGACAACTTGTATTACATGAGAGCATGACTTTTTTAAATTCACCAAATCTTACTTTTCACACTCCGCCTTTGTTGTCACTACTTATGTTCAGTCAGTGCTTGCCCACCCGCCGTATAATCCGAGCTCACAACTCCCTCCGCTGGTTGAATTGCAGTTTTGTGTGAGTTTGTGTTATCGTGTTTTCACCAGAGAGCTGTTGTCCAGTGATGCCATGAAGGAGTACAGCAGAGCTCGTGTCTACCTCGATGAAAACTACAAGTCCCAGGAACATTTCACAGTAAGTCTCCGTTTTATGAAGCAAAGCACACCACAAAATAGCTGGAATTGTGCCGTTTTAATACAAAGTACATACATAAAAACCTGCCCGCATTTCATGTGAATTCAGTTGTTAAGAACATCTAAAATCTTTCATTTGTGTGTGTATGATTGATTGAGCATTCTGATTGTGGTTTGCATTTTGTGGAAACAATATCAGATCAATTTGAACACTTTAAGGTAGTGATTCTCAAAATGTTGTCCCTGTCCACTGTTGGTAAGTCAAAGGGTCACTGAATTAAATTAAATGTTGCTGTGTGTTGAATTTTTTTCAAGGGAGTTGAACTGCTCATGATGTAGTTCGGTTTTATTTAACCCTCAAGTACAAAACTTTTGCATTGAATCTTTTAGGACTGTTTGTTTCCAAAAATGTATTTGGATGCATTTTTTTGGGGACTTTTGTATGCAATAGATTTTAATGAATTAATTAATTAATTAAGAATTAATGCACAGTTTTGAAATTAATGCTGTGCTTAAATATGGGAAGCTGTACCTTGATAATCATTCAATAATATTTAACCTACCGTATTTTCCGCACTAAAAGGCGCACCTAAAAGCCTTCCATTTTCTTAAAAGCTCGCAAGGGCCTACTGTGCTACTGTATTTTAATTTAATTAAGGCATTAAACTGGTACTGTTTCAGGTGGTACTTTGTGTAAAAAGTTTGAAAACCACTTAAGGCACACGTCAAGCTTACGGCTCACAGGTCAAACGCGGCCCTCCATTTCATTTTATGTGTCCTGTGAAATCTTGCCACAATTTTTCCTTCACTTTTTCCTTGACTATAAATCAAATACAGGTGGAATTATCGTATGATGGGGTTATCATGAGGGTTGTCAGAGTGAACGTGTTAGGTAAGCGACGAGAAATGCAGCTTGCGGCATTTGTGTAACTGCTCGAGCAACACGCCTAGTCAATAAACAAGCACAGCGCAGCTCAGCTTCTGGCTTCCAGACATCATGGCAAGCCATGTATTGAAAAAATAAAATAAAATACGGCCTCTCCCAGGCCCTTCACATCGAGCCGAAACAATGACTACCGGTAATGCATCTTATTTTCTTTTTATAGCATAATTCACATGTCTTCTGTTACTGTGCACTATTTTTCACAAGCCAAGATTTAAGATCACGTTTCATTTTAAATTTCTATGAATCTGGCCCGTGCTTACACAAAAAGCAGTTTTACATTTTGTTCCCTTGCTATAACCAAATGTGACAGAATCCATGACCTGTAAACCAAGGTACATACCAAAGTGTGATATTTAGGGAACTGTTACATCCCCAATGATTACACGTTTGAATGGTTTCAGCATTAGAATTACAACCATTGAGAGCAAACATAAGTAGATGTGCTTTAAAATGATACACTTGTGCTTTGAAGGTTGTAAATAAATGTATAAAGTGATACGTTGCCGCATGGTGTGCAATGACATTTTATAACCACAAGGTGGCAGTAGTGGTTTGAAAATATATTTTTGCCTGGCTTCTGATTTAACCAAGCTTGTTTTATTGTGATACAAATAAAGGGGTAGTGCTGTTTTTTCCCCCTCCTTTTTTTAAACATTAAAATGCTTTACTGCTCTACTTTGGGGACTTTTCTTCAAGAACGTGTGTATTTTGTGTTGTCACAACCATTCCATTTAACAGACCCAAAACAGTACCACAATCATGGTTGATTGAAATGGTCTGTGAGTGAAAACATCTGACAAACATTTTTACTTCAAGTTTAGAAACTAAAACAATTGCTGGAATCTGAAACCAACAACAGCAGTCTTTGTTTTCTGTCCGGACTGCTTAGATATGAAATAAATGAACCAAACTGACTCTTTACAGGTAATAATTATCATATGACTTTATATTTTCCAATACTGTTACTGTATTTATAGTTGAGTTGAGACTGTATATCCCATTGGTTATGTGCACACCAAAAAACACTTTGACATAGCAGCAATTTCAGTCGTGCTAAAATCAGGTATTCCATGACAACATCCACCTCCACGTCTACTTTTGCAAACTTGTCATGTTGTTATGTACTGTCGATGATCCATTTCACTTGCATGCTAAAGTTTTCAATATTAGAATTTATCAACCAGTTGTATCACGTCTCTCAGAAATTATGTTTTCTCTTTCTAGCACTGCACAATATTCGATACAAAATCACATATATTTAGGTTTAGACAACTTTTACAGATGTTGATTTTTTTTTTTAGGCCAGTATTGCACATAAATAATAATCTACAAAACTGTAAAAATAAAAATGTAGTTAAAACTACAAATAAAAAAGAAAGGTCATTTTAATAAAAGCTTTAAAACTACAAATGTACTGTACATTTCCCCTTTTAGGGCTATTTGTTACAGTCTGAGTTTTATTTTTGAAATTGTAACAGAGGCACTGTTTGTCCTCGTGGTGGAGCCAAAGACTCAAACTAGCTGGACTGTCTGAGGACGAAGGATTTTGCACTCCTGTGTTTTTTCTTTCTTTCTACCATTCTGCAACCACTCACTGTACTGAGACACCTTAGGTTCAAGGATGGTTTACATTAGATTGATGGCACACTTTTCAGCATCTACTCGACAATGCCAATGACTCGACTATATGCAAAAAACAGTCTGATTTAGCAAGTCTGGTTGGTTGGAAAAAGTGGTGGGGGTCACTATCTGTGCGTGTTTGTTGAGCTGTGTCCGCTGTTGTTCTCCAACACGTTTTCAGCATTTCCACCACGCTTCGCCGCATCTCCACAAACGCTCATAAATCACAGCACCCGCTGAGTCACATATGCTCTTTAAAAGAATATTACAAACGCTGGCCTTTTGGAAATGTAATTATGTGCCATTTCGTATCCTGGCATTATGAGCTGTTTATTTAATAGTGTTTGTGTATAGATTAACCTTTTTGTTGTGTATTTATTCTCATCAAATAGAGATCACAATTTGCTCTTGTCTTTGAGAATCACACGATGGAAAGAGAAACATCAGCTGTCCTTTCTGTGATGTTTCGATTGAAATTCAGGCAACAGTAAATATGAATAGACTCTTCAGTCTTCCTCACACAGGGCTTGCCATTTAACTTTGATGACATCACTCATATTTGTTTTCTCAGTCTTCGATTTCTCTCTTCCGCCCTGTGGAAATAATCGTTTGTTGTCTGTGCCACCTGTCCATTTTCAGATCATGTAAGTGGGAAGTTTCTCCCGCCTCTTGAGTGTGTTGTTGGATTCCATATGCCGTTGCTTGGTGCCTTAGGAACTGCAAGTGAATTGTTTGATTGAGTGAGAGTATGGTAATGTAGCGGGCGAGTGTATGTTAAGATAAAGGTCAGCTTGTTTGTTTGCAGGGTGTGTGTGTGTGTGTGTGTGTGTGTGTGTGCGTGCGTGTGTCATTCCAGGACCATCCCTGTCTGTGACTCACTGTAAATAGCAAACCTTCAGCTCAGACAAGGGGTTTCTAATTGTACATAGTTGAGCTCGTGGCACCGTGTAAGACAGGGGTGGCCAACCAGCGGCTCGCGAGCCACATGCGGCTCTTTGGCTGGTTCAATGCGGCTCCCGGGCTTTCACACGACAAGCGTCGAAAACGCCTCGGCAGTGGCGATGCCATTCAAACAAAGGCGCTAAATACACGAATATAGCCTATCATCAATCTCGTTACTTGATTGACATAGAAGGCAACCAATCAGATGACTGCATCACCGCTCATGCGCAAACGACGACGCTAAGCGCTAAGCTAGTCAGCGAATTACCTCTGATTTTAAGGCAGGGGTGCACAATACGTCGATCCCAATCGACCGGGAGCCAGCGAACTGGTCCCAAGTCGACCGCAAGGGGTGGGAGGAGGAAATGGGGGGGAAAAAAAAAAAGATTTGTATGTTTGTGTCTTTAGGTTTCATTTATGTTTGGGCGCTCAGGCTGTTGTTCGTTGTGGCGTGCCTTCATATGTGCGCGAGTGCATGGTCGTGTGTGTGTGTGTGTGTGTGTGTGTGTGTGTGTGTGTGTGCGCGTGTGCGTTTGCGTGTGTGTGTGTGTGTGTGCGCGCGTGCGTACAGTGTGTGTGTGTGTGTGTGTGTGTGTGTGTGGGCGCGCGCAAGAAGGGTACGATGTGGCTCTTTGCAGTAACACAGTAAAAAAAAAATTGGCTCTTAGTCTCTGACTGGTTGGCCACCCCTGGTGAAGGAATAAGATATCTTTCATTCAGTGTCTTAATTGGTTTTGTTATGCAACCAATCTACATGTGGTCTGCTCCTGGTGACATGATTAAAAAGAAACCGAGTTACGTATTCTTTTGCTTTGTTTAAATAAAATTACAACTAGAAAGTTGCCTCTTAAAAAACAAAAAATCCTGTGTGCGTGTTTGTATTTGTGTGTGTGTGTGTGTGTGTGTGTGTGTGTGTGTGTGTGTGTGTGTGTGTGTGTGTGCGCACGCAAGCAAACGAACGTGTTTTTGACTTGAATTGACACATATGCAAGTCATTTTGCTGCCGAAACAATCGATTTCCTTTTAATCGGCAAAATGAATGTTTGCGGATATCTCCTTTAAACAATGATTTTCCTCTAGTTAGACAAAATAACTGAGGTTTTTTTTTTTGTGTGTGTGTCTGCTATTTTTTTTAATTTTTTTTTTATAGTTCAACTATTCATTTATTACAAACAGGTCATGGGTGAGTTGGGGTACTCTGGACTGCCAGTGAACCATTCACGTTCTTATTTCACACCCATGGACATTTCAGAGCAGGGATGCCCAACCAGTCGATCACAATCGACCGGACTGGTCCCAAGTCGATCGAAATCGCGATGACCGAACTGGTCCCAAGTCGATCGCGAGGGGTTTAGGGGGAAATGAGGGGGAAGGGAGTGAGGGGGAAGAGATTTTTTTTTTTTTGTGTCTGTGTGCCTGTGATTAATATTATATATTTTTGTGTTCGTGTACACTGCAGCCTAAGCATCCTTACAGTTTGACTTTCACAAAAT